CCCCCAAAACCCCAAAACCCCAAAACCCCAAAACCCCGCTCTTGAGGAGGGAAGTTGAAATTGAAAATTTATTAAAAATGGGAATTTCAGGCCTCTTACAATTCTTAAGGAAGTTCAAGACTCAGGTAAGACCCTTGGAGCTTTGATTTTCCACTTTTGACTATCTTCTAACTCTAAATAGGGCAGATCAGTCTCGATTTCGAGATATTCAGGGATGAACGTAGCTATAGATGTGTCTTGATGGATCCATCAAGGAGCGTACTACTGTGATTTTAGCGAAGGTATCGAACACTGTATCAGTAAGATCATTAATTATGTCACAAAGAAATTAAGAATGCTCAAAGAGTATAAAATCAAGCCAATATTCGTCTTTGACGGAGCTCCTATCCCAGTCAAGAGCAGAATTCAAGAGATCAGAGCTAAGATTAGGCTAAAATCTAGAGAGAAGGTCGCCAGACTGTTGCGTGAAGGTAATAATGAGGCTGCCAAAAAGTACGGAGAAAGCTTCACTATCACTCCTTACTTGGTCCAAAAATTATATAAGGTCATCAAGAATCTTGGGTGAAAATGTATCGTTGCTCCTTATGAAGCCGATGCTCAGCTGGCTTATCTCTTCAAGACAAGGCAGGCTGATGTAGTCTTTACAGAAGACTCTGACCTCATTGCCTATGGGGTGACTAAACTATTTTACAAGCTTGATAATGATGGCAAAGGGTATGAAATCAACATGGAAGGCCTCTTTCATGAAGACTTTCTCTCGAATGAAAAACAGGAGAACATCGATCCTAATCTTTATAAGCCAGATAAAATGATTCAGATTGATCTCTGAGAAGAGCCTTCAGAAGCTGAGAACAGCATGTGGTTCATCGAGAGCCAGAGGGCTTCCCAGTCTATCTTAGAAAAAGAACCAACAGAGAAGATTCCTATATTCAGTAAAGATAAATTCTTATTAATCTGCATTTTGGCGGGATGAGATTATCTGGAACCAATTAAAGGAATTGGATTCAAAACAGCTTATAAACTTCTGACACAATATCCGACTGTGGAGAAAGCCATAATGAGTATTATGGCTCAGAAGAAGTACACAGTGCCTCAAGGCTACCTCGAGAACTTTAAGTTAGCTGTTATGACATTCTTATTCCAAATTGTGTACGACCCAGTGAAGGAAGTCTGACTAAATCTGACTGACCCAAAGGAAAATAAGCAATATGGTGAATTGTTCTTGAACTGCAAAAACCAAGATTTCCTTGGACAAATGATTCCGAAGGAGTTTGCAAAAGATATCTGTGCTTGTCAGATCGATATTAGAACCAAAAAGCCATTTGATCTAGATTTCTTGCTGCAAGAATACTGTGAAGTCAACAATCCAGTTCTATTGATCAGCTCTTCAGAGGATGAAGAGAAGTCTCTTGGTCTTATGGAGATATCAGACTTCAGCAATTTAACGGCCTCGAAGAGAAGACAAGCTCCCGTCAGGAGAAAATTCAGCTTCAATCTTGGCAAGACAACTTGTGGAAAGAAAAGAAAAAGAATTCCTTCTCCTTTCAGAGACAAATTTTGAGAGAATGTGAGAAATTCTGAGAGCTATAAGAAAATGAAATTTAACAAGAATACTAAGAATAAAAGATTCAGACAACTATTATTAACAGACAAGGCTCTGTCAAGTAATAAGTCAGATTCTGATGAAGATCTCCCATCAAATTCTCTCATGGCGATGTTCAAGAGAGCTAAAAGAAGTGAAGAAATTGCTGAGAAGAGCCATGTGGTTATCCCAAAGCTCCAAACTATCAAGAAGAAGACTTTCATGAGCTCCATTATGACTCGTCCAGATCAGAAGGATCTTAAGACTCCTCTGAAGCCCATTAAGATGCCTAAAAACTTGCAAAGGTTTTCATCTCCCTCTGCTTATAATTTCAGGTGCACACTTTCAAAAAAGTTTTAAAAGTTAACGTTCTTAATTAATTTCAAATTTCAACATTTCTTAAATTTCATGGGGTTTTGGGGTTTTGGGGTTTTGGGGTTTTGGGG